CTATGAAAGGTTGGGGGGCAGCGTTGCAGCAGCAGGGAGGGTAGTGAAGGGTGGAGGAGCCCCGCGCACTGAAGCAGAGCCCACTCGGACCATGGGGTGGGGGGCTGCTTGCCAAAGCCAGAGAGAGGGCGCAGCGGGGGGACGTGGGTCTGGCTCATGTGCCCATCGCCCAGCTGCCCCTCCAATCAGGGCTCTAACCACAGGCCTCCACCAAGGTTCCTCAGAACCAGGGCCAGACCTGACGGGGCTCAGGGCCTGCGGGACCCGAGGAGAAGGGAGACGCACCCCGGCAAGGGCGTTTGGGGAACGAGCTGACGCCCGAGTCACACGTTCATCTTGACAAAGTGACAGGGTTCAAAGGCTGCTGGGGAAACCCTCCCAGGCTCCCATAGGCGACATCAAGTTGCACACATCTATGGAAATGCTCTAAAAGGGAACATCCATGCCCCCACCCCCAATTTCTCGCACACATTTATCTGATTAATTTCAGTTTCTTAAAATCTAACACCTTGAAACTCCAGCCCTGCTCGTAATTATTTATAAACAGTGTCATAAAGGCTGCTTGGCTGCCAAGAGTAATCAACTTCTCCCAACCACTTCAAAGGAAATCAAAAAGCCTTTCCATCCACAGATCCTTTTGAGGTTTAACTAGGAGCGTGATTTAAAATTCACAAGGAAACCCTTAGGTATTGGAGCTCTAATACACAGCTTTCCTGGACAAACGTTTGATAAAAAACAGAGCACGCCGCTATATACGCCATCGCCTGCCGTAGCATTGCCCAGGGCTACTCTAAATGCTCACTTTGTACCCGATCTGCTTTTCCCGCGGTGAAGGGGTTGCCAGCCCGTGTGCGGGTGGCTCCCCTCATCCCTCCCGCACCAGCCACTGGCCACTTGGCACCCAGGCCCAGGAAGCGGAGTGTTGAGAGTCCGGCGTCCAGGTGACACAGGCCGCCGCGTGGCTACAAGGGAGCCTGACCCTCGGACCCCGGGCCCAGGGCGGCGGAAATGCTCCCAAAGGACCGCCCGGCCGGTGTCGGCTACACTGCATCCCAAACAGAAAGGCTGTTTGAACTTAAAATTCTGCTGCAGTGGATGGTTTGACACTGAAAAGGACACCTGCAAGATTGAAACACGAAGGAGGGGTCAGCCTCGGCTTCAGGCTCCGGAGCTTTCAGCCAGGGTGACGCGCCGAGCTCTGGGGTTGGAATTAGAGACACACGGGGTGGCCCAAACGCTCCCCAAGAGACTTTTTCAAAGCAGCACAGCATGACGGGCCATCGGGACCCAGCTTAGGGTTCGAATACTTATATTTTTGTCAAGTGCCATTTTACTTTAGGGAAATCTGATACACGTTCACAAGCGGAAGCTCCAGCTCGACATCGCAGCACCTGGAGCCCTGAGGGAGCGTCAGGGCCTGGCCAGTGTCACTGACCAGTCCCCACGGGGCCAGAGCTGCCCCTCCTCCATCTCAGGTGACGCCCATTTTACAAATGAGGAACTGAGGGAGCGAGGCTGCCTCACCGTCTCTTTCCACAAGGAGAGGGGTGAACGGCAGGAGCTGGTCGTGGGGCCAGGAGTGGAGCCCCTGCGCTCCCTGAGCTGCCCTGTCGCTCTGCTTTGCTCCTGTTTTACTTTTAGTTTTGTGTCACGGTCCCTTGGCCTTACTAGTTGCTTGAGGGAGGGGGGAGGGGGCAGCACCAGAGTTGAACATGGGCAGAAATGCTCCCAGTAGCCCTCACACACTCAGCTTAGCAATCTGCGCCCAGCCCAGCCCAGCCCCAGAGCCGGGGAAGCGGGACCGGACACCTCCGCCTCCGGCAGACGGGGCAGTGGGTGAGGCCAGATGGGGAGCTTGGTCTGCAGCAGGCCCACCAGGAAGGAAGGTGGCTTAACACCCACCCTGCAAAGCAGGTGAGCCTCCCACGTGTGAACCAGGGACCAGAGGCCTCTGAGAACAATCGCCGACGGGCAAAGTGAATCACCCCGGGAGCACAGGAAGGCACAGTGGACAGCTGCAGAAGGTGGTCCTCCTGGGCCCACGAGGTCACAGCTCCATGTCTACCTGGGGCATCGGGCTCACAGTTAATGTCAATTCTCAATTCTGCCCAACTAGAAAAGGGCACTGTTGGGCGCTCTATGAACCACCTGGCTGAGGTCTGTGAAATGGTCCTCACTCTGGAGCCAAGCCTGACACCATGAGCACCTGCGGAAAGAACTCGCTGGAAGCGCCAGGCGTGCCCGGCTCACCTGCAAGCTTGGGGCCTCCTCTCTCTTTTTTTTTTTTAAGCTACTTAGCATCCCTTCTCATCTTAGGCCTCTGAGGCCCACCACGGGGCATCTCGGGCAGTCATCTGCCTCCGCTGTACCAAGCACTAATCTCACTGGTGTGCTAGTCGCTCCTTCAAAGCAGTTCCTGCCCCAGTGAAAGAAACATCAAAGTGCCAAGAGCCCGGTTCTCCTGACAGCTCACACAGGACGGACAATCCTACTCCACATGGCAGATCGACCCTGGAATGGAACCTCTTCTCTCCACACCCGGGTCCCATGCTCTGGCCTTGGGTCTGGCCAACCTGCACTCAGGCCAAGGTGTGGGGAGCTCTGGAACTCATTAACGGGCGCCCATAATGAGACCATCAGGAAACCCCACATGCTGCCTGTCGGGTAGACCAGAAACCAAATTTACACCTGACAAGGGGAGCGATCACGGAGCTTAAACCCAACAGGCGATGTTGGCTGTGGCAGGCGGAAGTGTTAGTGATTGACTCCGTGGGCCACTCCGAGGTTTTTCTTCTAATAACTTGGTGAGAGAACTTTTATTAGTTGTGTTCCCAAAGAAATTAAGGCATTTTTCAATCAACCACCAGCCCAAGTTGTCAAAACCCCTCCCCGCCCTGTTCTGGCCTCCCTTCCGACACAGAAGGACAGAGTGGTTCACCGCTGCTCCCAGGACAGTGAGGGCCCCGAGTGCTCACCGTTGTCATTGTCTCGCTGCAAGTGATTGATCATGAACCGGATGGGATCCTTGGGCTGGTGGATCAGAAGTTGCTCCAGCATGTTCTGTGGGTACAGGGCAGACACCCAGGCGGTTAACACAACCCCTGGCTCAGGTGGTCCAGCACCCCGGTCACCATGGATAATGGCTGTGAGGCCTCATCTCTGCACCACACACCACCGATACGCCTTCAACTCGGGACCCAGCCCCTGCCCCAGATGGCAGCTGCTTGGGTCCAGGGAGCAGAGGCATGAGGGAGGGGCCGTGTGGGTACAGCTGGGGAGGCACCTGGAGGGACCACGCCCCGACTCAGGCAGTCCCAGGGCCCTCTCCCCTGCCCCTTTGTACTTTGCAGACCAGCCTTCTCTGCTCTTTTCACAAACCCCTGAGCCTGAGCCTGAGCCAGTGCTGCTCCCTCAGCTTGGAACAGGTTCCTCGGTCCTCAGGCCCTGGTGCAAAAGGACCTTCCTGACCATGCTCACTGGGGGAATCCTGCCACGCGCTCCTGCGGCCCCGTGTGTCCCATCATTGCCTCCCCGTCCCAGTGCCCGGCACAGTGACAGTCAGTGCCCAGCGCAGATGTCTGCAGGGGGACGGGGCCATCGCGGCTACCAAAGCCCCTCCCGGGCGGGAGGGAATGTTTACCTGCCAAATACCTGGACAGCCCTGGGACAGCTGGCCCCCCGTCAGTCCCTTCCCGGAGGAAGCGCGTGCTTGCGGGAGGGAGGCCCGGTGTCCCCGGTGTGCAGGCCGGAGGTTCCAGCGGCCACAGGCGTCTCGGGGATGCCTGGGGG